AATTTCTTAGTTTACATTTTAAATCGAGTTTAGAAATTCTTTTCCTCTGTTATAGTATTGCTGGCCGTGTTTTCATATCTTGATGACGTATCACTGTGGATTGTTGGCAATGTGTGTAAACGCTGGCGACATCTGCTTCATACTCACGTAGCTGGAGAACAGTGGCGGAATTACACGATGCAACGCTGGCCTCTTTTCAAACCTCTCTGTGCAGTTCAGGATTGGTTCAAAATATACACAGAACTGTAAGTGATGACTCCAAAGTCAGGAGCTGTATTAACATACTATCATATCGAAAATCCACTTTTCTCTTTCTGCAGTTTATTTCCTGATATATGAGATACATTCTAATTTCCATAGGATTGACAGTTGTCCATGTAAGGCTTGTTTACGGCAGATGGCTCTACAGTCACAGCCTCCTGGAGAAGAGAACTCTTGGAGGAGGAACCGTCTTAGAAATGAACTTAAAAGTAAGTTGTCAGCTTTGGAAAATGAGTGCAAAGCAGAGGCCCTGATTGTTTAGAAGTGAGGCTCTCCCATTTCAGAACCCCTGGGTCTAAGGTTGCTAGATTCACTCCTGATTTCTTTGCATGTCTAGTTTTATTTGTAAATTTTGGCATAGTTAGAATGTAATAGATGTGGGGGGCATGTGGTTATGCTACAAGATGGAAGGTCATGGGTTTGATTCCTGGTGAAGCCATTGGATTTTTCAGTTGCCCTAATCCTTCCAGCTGCACTATGACCCTGGAGTTGACTCAGCCTCTAACAGAAAAGAGTACCAGGAATCGTTCTGGGGCTAAAGGGAAGCTGGCCTGTGAGGCTGACAACCTCACTGCCATCTGTGAGCCAAATGCCTAGAAAAATGTGGGGGCCTTGACATCTCACAACCCTACAGGCCTCCATGTCCTTTTACAGGGGTCACTTTACCTTTTCCTTTATGATGCGGAACCAAGATTCACTGGTATCTTGTTCAAACACATTCTTTATCTCATCACTGGATGAACATAATTAATCGGTTTTGTACAGCCATTAGCAGCTGATATATATGATGAAATACATTTGCCATTTTCTGTAGTCCAAAAATATTATTATGGTGTTATGTAGTTGAAGAGCAACAGAAGTAGCAAATTGGATTTCTTCTGTGAATTTGTTAATCTTTTGCAACATCTAATGCGGTAGATTGTAGTTGCACTTACAGAGAAGTTTAGTGTAAAAGGCAATTTAAATTAACTAATCTGATAGCATCAGGATGCTATGAATTTAAATAATGTACGAAAGGCTCTCACTTGCTTCAGGTCTGCGTACAGATCCACCTGAAGGAATAGAAGCTGCCCCTCTGGATCAGAAGTGTTGCCACTGGCAAGCAACCATAACTGGTCCTGTTGGCAGCCCTTATGAGGGTGGGCTGTTTTATCTGTACCTGCAAATTCCATATAGCTACCCCATGTGTCCACCTATAGTGCGTTTCCTGACACGCATCTTCCACCCAAATGTGTCTCGACATGGGCATGTTGGCATTGACTCGATACAGCACAACTGGAGCCTGGCACTTACCATATCGAAAGTTCTCATCTCTGTGCAGAGTCTGCTGACTGATCCATACTGTCAGGTATGTTCTGGATTGGTTATTTAGTGATGCCTTATGAACCACAAGGTTTTATATGTAGCATTAAGTGAGATGCTGGAATGGTTACACGATTTATTATATGATACTGTCAATATTTCAGACTGAATACTGTCAAATTGTAGAATGATTGGTGAATAATGAATTAGAAACGATTTGGAAGGAGGTGTTCATGGCCTGATCAGAGTACTATTCCTTAATTTTCATGGAGACACCAAGAAGTACTTGAAAAACTTTAGTCAGAATAGCCTGTGCCACAACTGAGATTCAAACTGAGCACTTCCCAGATACAAGTCTTAGAGTGTTACCATTGCACCAGTCAGCTTCATGAAAGATTATGCAGATACTCCTAGATTTATGCAATAGTTATGTTCAAAGAGAAAATTGTGGAGGGTAAAATTTAATAAATGATACTAGTTGTCTCCTAGCAACGGATCTCAACGCAAAAACTATCACTTCAAATCACTACAGATATTACACATAAAACCTTCACATCACACTTTAAATTCTCACAGGCTGACCTCCTGTATTCTTCTGTACTTCTGGTTCCACTTCACTCCGTTTGCATGCTTCCACCGCTACTCTTTCTCCTGTAACTCGAAACTCAACACTCAGGACTAAACTTGAAACTCAACACTCAGGACTATGTCACTCACATTCACTGTCACTCTTAGTTCCAACTCGATCTCTTCTTGTGATTTTGCTGCTACTGTTTTTCTCTTGTAACTCCTAACTGCTCTCATCTGAACTTTATCAGCCACTTATATAGCCAAGGGGCTGAGAACACATCACATGTAAACGCATGCCACCTGCTACTGTTGCATGACATCACAGCATGCGGGTTGCATTGAAATTGTCTGTCCACAGACATAGAAAACACTGTTCCTGTACTGTTGGGGTTTTGTGTGTGTTGTGGGCGTTTTCTAGCAACCGTCAGTGTTTACAGATTCATTGCCTAGCAACGCGTCTAAGCGCCTCAGTATTTTACTCTTCCTTCTTTCCTCTCTCTCCATTGACTGGTAAGCAGTGCATAATTAAATTGGGCACCATTAATTGAAGTTTTTCTAAATTATTTTATATCACGAAAATTAAATTGCATTTTTTGAACTTGCATATAACATGGAATGTCTGCCTGAGGAAGAATGATTCTGTATTGGGGAAAACAGCTTATTTAGAATTTGCCTGTCTTTCTTCCATATTTGGGATATTGTGCTCTTATGTATAAAAGATACATGGGCTCAATTAACTAAGTATCACGCCATGAAGACTTACAGGAATGTTTAATCTTAATCTTGGCACTAGTTGGAGGTGAGTCGTCAGTCTCACACCCCTGTTGCTTTACTCTCTGGGATAGAGCTTGTATGTAGTATTCATTAGATAGGAGGCTGTATGGGCCCCAGATCTGGTCAAGATGCTGTGGAGAAGATAAAAATCTCTTGCCCCTGCCATGAATTGAACTCTGGTCATCTAGCCTACAGACTAGTTGCTATGCCGACTGAGGATAAGAAAAAATTCCATATTCATATTTTAAGGTCTGTATGGAACCAGCTGTTGGAGCTCTGTACATGAAGGACCGTTCTACATTTGAAGACATCGCTCGTTCATGGACGTGGCGGTATGCTATGCATGATGCTATCAGTCCTGTCTGAAGTCTGTTTGTAACAAAAATGTTTCTGAGAAAAATAAATATTCTTTCCTTATATTTATCCTGTACTGTTGTTATCATTGTTGTCTTCTCAGGTTTAAGTACCTGGTGGTACATTATGGTCTTCTGCAACTTCCTGAACATCACCTGATTTTGTACAGTCTTGTGTCATCCATCCATATTCCAGTGACTAAAATTCTCGTTCCCTGGTATTAAAGCCTGAAAGTTCAATACCTTTAAATCTGCAACAATCACTAGAAAAGATACTGTACCAGTTCCGTCTGCCTTCCACATCCATATTAATAGTATCTGCCTATTTTCTCTGCAGTGTTTCAAGTGATCACTTTCCAAGTAGTTTCCTCATCAGAATTTTCCTTGCATTTCTTGTCTTTCCTTTCTGATCCATGAATATCCAGTTTTCATTCAGTTACTTTACTTTGTACAGTCTGTGTATAATTTTTGTCTTGGTGCCATAGCCTGATTTGAGACCTGGTCTCTGGTGTTGTGTCACAAGCTTGTAAAGCAGTAAGACTCCCAGGATGGACAGCTGGCCAACTGTGAGGTCTCTACCAGCAAGGGATTAGAAAACTGGGCGCATATGTGGCTGAAGTAGGCTAGGTTTTGTTAGCAGTCCTGAATTTATCAGTTTGCAATATGGTGCTTAATGTTTGACAATAGTAAGTGCAGGGGCTTTCTCAACTGGTCAAATCCAGTTTGCGTGACCGGGAGAAGAAAATCAATAGTCAAATGTGCTTTACATGACAAACACAAGCAGAGAGACCATAGCAGCATTAGTATACAATGTCTCGGTTATTGCTCGTCTTGTATGACTATCATTGCACCTGCAAGTGACTAATATGTATCACTTCTTTTTGTGTTGATGTTTACATACGATCATTTAGGAGTCTTTTTCATTCTCTCATTTACAGTTGAGTTGAGTTGAAGTGTTGAAATACACAGTTGAACAACAGATTTTATATACAATAATTATGTGGAAATAAATCATGTAAAAGGTGGTTTCACCATAATTATCCAGGTTATCAGGTGCCAACCTCATAAACAAATTTTGAATTTTTGAAGAAAGTGCGTTCAACTGGGTCTTTGTTGGCCAGAAGTAACTCTAGACAGAATGTTGTGCTGAGGAAATGTTTGATGAAACTGGAGCCAGATTGGTGCATTCATCTTGCAAATCCCTGCATGATTAGCTCAGCAAGTACAGGTTTCAATTACAACAGCCTGGAGAGACTAGAAAGTCCTACTGCTGTATAAAGTTAGAGGTTTAAGCAGTTGAATAGGGCGATAACAAGAGAACACATTTTTGTAACTGGTTTTTGCGGGCAGTACATGATGGTGTTCTTAACCCAGAACTTAAATTTTTTACTGGCAAAGCTTCATTCCATCTGAGTGAGTAGGCCTATACCAGTGCTCAAGAAAATAGGCACTGGAGTGTTGTTAATCTGAAACAGAATTTTTTAAGTATTCCTTCATGATCAGAAGTTCAGTGTGTGGTGTGTGCCATTGCTGCTACTCAAATAATAAGTCCCATATTTTTTTGAACACACTATGAATTTAAGGCAGTATTCTGCAGGCCATATTTGAGGACATAATGGAAGTTATTTTGTGCAAGATGGTGCTACAGCACACATTCCAGTCATGTTTTAGATGAAAAGTTTGAAAACAGGCTGAGAAGTTGCAGATTAAGGCCTGTGAGGTCTCCAGACTTTAAATCCCTGTAATTTTCATCTGTGAGGAAACCTAAAAACAAAGTATTCCTATAATCCCTACACTGGATGGACTTAAGTACTACATTATGTGAAACAGTTACATCCATTGTGGTCAGTAGTGTCAAACCAGTGTCAGATATTTAAAGNACAAAGTATTCCTATAATCCCTACACTGGATGGACTTAAGTACTACTAAATTATGTGAAACAGTTACATCCATTGTGGTCAGTGGTGTCAAACCAGTGTCAGATATTTAAACAGAGTTTAAGTTTAAGGTCAGAAGGGAGACATTTTGAGCATTTACTATGATGGTAAATTCATTTAAGCAATTTATTCACTTTAAGAACTGAACATCTGTGTTTATAATACACAGCAGAGTTATTTTTCTGGACAGATAGTGGCTAAGGTTTGGCTAACAGGCAGAAGTTAAGAAGGTCAGGCAATTCCATCATTTGAGGAAACCATGACAGTTTTTCAGTGGCCCCACCCTCCCTCACTTTCTCAATCGCAAAACTGTCTCTTGCTTTCCCACTCAGCCTGCTCTTCCATTTCTTTAATCTACCATCAGTGATTATCTTTCTTTCTTCCTCTCTCTTTCCCACCACATTTTCGTACTGCCCTGGAAGTCAAGTTCCCTAGTTGTTGCTTCTGCCATCATCTGCTCATTCATTTCCTGTTTGCTGACTTCCTCTTGCCAGCGTTGTCCCTTCCTGTTCCTCTTGGACTCTTTCATCTTTTTAAGAGGCATTGTAATCTGTTGAAAGCCAGTTGACATTTCAGACATATCTCCACCACCTTCAGGGTGGAAGAGTGAGCTAAACCAGCATGAAGCAGACTGCAAGCTTTTGCTACAAGCAGAACTTATAAGAAGCTTAACTGAAGTTATGAGAATAAAGCAAATGAAATAGTATGAATGATGAAGACTGTTGTATATTTCCAACACCAGTCTGCTTTTGCCAGTTCTCACGGTCTCTTCGCTTGCAGACTTCTTATATTTTTCCTTCTACCTTCCTCCGAAACGTCAGTTAACACCACATATATACGGTGCCAAATCCCAGAAGACTGCTTTCTTCATAGTCACCGCCGTGAAAACCCTAAATCTTATACAGTATGAATGATGTTAGAAATTTTAGTGATGATTAGTTTTTGAATGGGTGAATATATTGTGAATGTTTGTTAAATGTATATTATACTTGGTCATATCATAGGGGTTAGATATTAGATGGATCTAAGAAAATCTGTTGATGTTAACCCAATTTAAAAATGTTTTTATTGGAGATAAATGTCTGCCATGTTTGAGACCCCAGTGGGGTCAAATACAGACTCGTAGAATATACTTTTGGGCAATATTTTGAGCCTTTATTTCTTTCTTCTGCATGGAAAACCCATGTATGTGGCACTGGTTCTTACTATCGACAGTAATAAGCATTTTTGTTGACTTAAAAAATTGACACATGATTTTGCTAATTTTTTATAGCTAGTGGGGTGGGACTAAGTCCCTTGTACTGCGGCTGCTTCTGGCCTATTGTACCAGCCCCAGATGATAGGTGAGGGTGATTGCGGAGCAATTGGTGGAATGAAGATTGGCGGGGGAAACCGAAGTACTTGGAGAAAACCTGCCCCAGCGCCACTTTATCCACCACAAATCCCACTTGACCAGACTCGGGATCGAACCCGGGCCGCCGCGGTGAGAAGCCAGCGACTAATTGCTTGAGCTATGGCACAGCGTTTCATTTTGCTAAAACTGAGCCTTGTATTTTTGTCACAGAAATGTACCCACTGTAATGGTTACCTCTATTTGTTCTCCATTTGTTTGGCTGTGAAAGAAAAACGAAATGTGTGTGGTATTTGGCGACTTTCCCATGTTTCGTGGAGACTAACGCAGCAACTTTCATACGGTTTCCTTTTGCCAGAATTACCTGCTGCCCATGTACCCACCCTTTCAGAAGATTAATTTCGCTTTAACTCAGAGTCGTAACAAAACCACATGCGGGCCCTTACCGTAAATATACAGTACAGTATTTAAACATCCATTTTTGATGACAATGAATATTTTTTTAAACGCGTTCTTGTAATGCGGGCTGTCTGTTGATTTCGGTTTAACAGTTGCTAGGAAGGGAGTTTGGTAAAACATTTTCAGAGTGACGTTCGACTGCTAAATGTAGCGGTCAGATGGTTAACATCCTTGTTTCGTATTCAGGAAGGCCTGGGTTCGTGCAAGTATCCTGATACAGACCGGTTATATTTTATGGCTGCTCTCTGTCCTAGGCAAATGGTGGAATATTGCCTCTAATTAGGACGGTACGCGGTAGCGTAGTTGGTTGAGGTACTATGCTATGAGCCAGAAGGACGCGGGTTCGAATCCCGTTGAGGTAATTTGATTTTTCAGTTGACATAACCCATCCACACTGTGGCCCTAGGATCGAGTACCAGGAATCTTCCTGGGGGTAAAGGGCGGCCGGCGTGTAAGGCTGACGACCTCACAGCCGTCTGTGAGCCCATTGTCTAGAAAATGTGGGAGCCTCGACGTTTCACAACCCTATGGGCCTTCATGTTCTGTTACAGGGATAGCTTTGCGTTTTACCTCAATGAAATTAGTACCTGTTGCTCAGGGAAGAGATGAATATCAACTGACAGAAATTTGTGTACCTTCAACAAGAGTATCAAGAAGTATAACAAAACATAATACTCTTAACGAAATGAAATAGAAAATAGCTGTGTATTTTATGAAACCATAAAGGGAGCTGCAGTAACTTACATGCAGAGACATGGAACCTTACAGACAAATGTAAAGATAAAAGTAAATTTGTACCTATGCTTAATTAATTAAGCATCACGTAATGAAAACGTATAGAGGAACAGAGGTATAGCTCTATTCTTGATCTCGGCGTTAGATGGAGGTGAGTGGTCAGCTTCACGCCCCGGTCACTTTACCCCCGGGGAAAGACCCCCCCCCGGTACCCATCTTATAGGAGGCTGGGTGAGCCCCAGAGACATTCTGGACGCCGCGGAGGTGAGAAAATTATCTTCCTTTGCCGGAAATCTAGCCCTGTCGTCCAGCCCATAGCCCGTCGCTGGGTATGAATTGGGAATGAAAATAATAGTGACGTTGGAATCAGAAATCCGTTAATGGCGTTAGAAGAGTAACGACTGCGAATGGTTTGGACATACGGAAATAATGGCTGGAACTATGATGTGGAGGAGGTATTATGATAGAAGGAAAGAGACATGACCGACCCAGAACAAGATGGTTTGGATAGGTACTGGACGACACCTAGAAGGCAGGAAAGAACTGGGAAGAAATCGAAGAGGTTAGCTGGTGGAGTGAAAGAAACCA